GGTGTCTTTTGATTAACAATTTTTGTGTAATTCGAAAAGAGATTTAAATATGCGCAGTGTGAAATTGAATGGTGGTTTAAGAAAGATTAAGTAAATATAGCTGTAGCAATATTAAGGTAACATATTGTTATTAATAATCAGGTTACATATTTTATATTCTTGAATATTCTGAAAATTTAAGTTTAAACTTAATTAATTTTACAAACTTAAGAATACAACATTTAAAATATGTACCTTTACAATTTTCATATTTGTTCTACAATAATTTTATTATTGCTAAAATAAATATTACTCTTCAGACCTTTTCATAAAACAAGGTAAATAAAATAATTACAAACTATTAAAAATAAGACAATTTTCAATTGAAAGTTAAGGCATACATTACGACAAAAATATTTGTTTCGCACAGAAAAGTTTAAATTGAAGGAATTTGCTTAGATTCACTAACCGTTCGTTCTCTGTCCTATTCGACCTAAACACTAGAAAAACGAGGCTCGTAAACGATCTTCGATCACAGTCGACTGTGAGCTGTAGCTCTTTGACGATATTGGGTGAGGTTCTTCATTTTTCGCGCATATCCTTACGTGGTTGTTATTTCAGTCAAAAGAACGTTGATTTGCGTTTAAAACATCTTCAGTTGGAAGCATTAATTTTTATTTCGCTTCGTCACGAGAATTTCTGCGTCCCGGTGGATAACGTTAGGTCATGCCTTCTCGATAGCAAATTATCATCACTATTCTTATTGTTTATTTATGGACCCCTTTCAACTTTGGATATTGTATTAAGTTTTAAAAGGTAACAAGTTGAAGCTCGTTAATATTAATAATATATTAGAACTGTTAGTGTAGCAATAATCAATATCTCAATAGTAAAATTATTACATCCATTTTATTATTATAAATTTTGTAGTTAATATAACATTTGATAATTGTTGATATTGGGAATTTGACATACGTTAATAATTTGACATATATTAATACTACAACATATATTAATACTGATAGTATGTTAAAACTTTAATAACAGTGACATGTTAATAACTTCAAATTTTTGTATATCACACTAATTTTTTAAACAAATGTATAAAATGCTTAAATTTCTAATTAGTATTAATATTTACAGGGTGTCTCACAACTAGTAGGTCCTTCAAATGGGGGACGTGATTCTGAACAAGATTTCCCTTTGCGAAAATGGGGTTTGAAGCTTCATTTTTGAATTATTAAGAAAAAACACGGACCAATCAGAGCGCGAGGATTACGCATGCGCGGACGCGAGAGCGACAGCTTCGAGCTAGCGGCTGAGCGCGTGGTACTTACCACGCGTTGTATTTACCACGCATTGTTATTTATTAATAATAATTTTTGGTGATTATATTTTATTTTGATAAAAGTGAAGAATTTTAAGTGATCATTGCTGAGTTCTTGAATTTTTTTTTTTTGGAAAAAGGAAGGTGTCTTTTGATTAACAATTTTTGTGTAATTCGAAAAGAGATTTAAATATGCGCAGTGTGAAATTGAATGGTGGTTTAAGAAAGATTAAGTAAATATAGCTGTAGCAATATTAAGGTAACATATTGTTATTAATAATCAGGTTACATATTTTATATTCTTGAATATTCTGAAAATTTAAGTTTAAACTTAATTAATTTTACAAACTTAAGAATACAACATTTAAAATATGTACCTTTACAATTTTCATATTTGTTCTACAATAATTTTATTATTGCTAAAATAAATATTACTCTTCAGACCTTTTCATAAAACAAGGTAAATAAAATAATTACAAACTATTAAAAATAAGACAATTTTCAATTGAAAGTTAAGGCATACATTACGACAAAAATATTTGTTTCGCACAGAAAAGTTTAAATTGAAGGAATTTGCTTAGATTCACTAACCGTTCGTTCTCTGTCCTATTCGACCTAAACACTAGAAAAACGAGGCTCGTAAACGATCTTCGATCACAGTCGACTGTGAGCTGTAGCTCTTTGACGATATTGGGTGAGGTTCTTCATTTTTCGCGCATATCCTTACGTGGTTGTTATTTCAGTCAAAAGAACGTTGATTTGCGTTTAAAACATCTTCAGTTGGAAGCATTAATTTTTATTTCGCTTCGTCACGAGAATTTCTGCGTCCCGGTGGATAACGTTAGGTCATGCCTTCTCGATAGCAAATTATCATCACTATTCTTATTGTTTATTTATGGACCCCTTTCAACTTTGGATATTGTATTAAGTTTTAAAAGGTAACAAGTTGAAGCTCGTTAATATTAATAATATATTAGAACTGTTAGTGTAGCAATAATCAATATCTCAATAGTAAAATTATTACATCCATTTTATTATTATAAATTTTGTAGTTAATATAACATTTGATAATTGTTGATATTGGGAATTTGACATACGTTAATAATTTGACATATATTAATACTACAACATATATTAATACTGATAGTATGTTAAAACTTTAATAACAGTGACATGTTAATAACTTCAAATTTTTGTATATCACACTAATTTTTTAAACAAATGTATAAAATGCTTAAATTTCTAATTAGTATTAATATTTACAGGGTGTCTCACAACTAGTAGGTCCTTCAAATGGGGGACGTGATTCTGAACAAGATTTCCCTTTGCGAAAATGGGGTTTGAAGCTTCATTTTTGAATTATTAAGAAAAAACACGGACCAATCAGAGCGCGAGGATTACGCATGCGCGGACGCGAGAGCGACAGCTTCGAGCTAGCGGCTGAGCGCGTGGTACTTACCACGCGTTGTATTTACCACGTGCTGCACTTACCGCGCGTTGCTTACCACGTGCTGCACCTACCACGCATAGTACTTGCCACGCCTTGTATTTACCACGCGTTACATTCACCACGCATTGATTTCTTACGCGTTGCACTCACCAAGCGTTGAATGTACTATACATTGCATTTACTGCGCATACATAATTCAAAAACGAAGGTTCAAACCCCATTTTTGTAAAGGGAAGTCTTATTCAGAATCACGTCTACCCCTATTTCATTAAATTTTGTAAATCAGTAATTAATATTATTTTGTAATGAGTGTGCAAATATAATGTTTGAAAGTGATGTATTAATATTACTACTAAATAATAATTTATTAATTAGAGTAAGATTTGATGGGATCTTATCAGTAAGAAAGAAGAAAAAGAATTTTCGGTCGAACAGATTGAAAATTCAATCTCGCATCAATGATGTCAGACTCAATACTTGGACGATGATTATCGATTGTTGTTGTTTTGGTGTCGCTTTTTACTTGAGCCTTCTGCTGATAATGAGTTGTAATTAGCACACTGTACAGAAAAGAAACAATACACAACACGAGCTACGTAACACTATCGAGAATGAAATAATACTTTTAATAAGACATGGTATACGACGGGTTGGAACGATGTACGGGTCACTTATGGCCGCTGTAACAAATTTTGGGATTTGAACAGTTTTGAATTTTGAGATTTTTTAAATTCTTAAAGTGGGAACTTTAGGAAATTTTAGGAATTTTTTTAGGGGGATTTTAGGGAGTTTGGAAATTTTGTTGATTGGTGAATTTAGGGATTTTAAGGTTGAGAATTGGGAGAATTGAAGATTTGAGCTTTTGAGATTTTGGGGACTTGGAAATTTGAACTTTTAAGATTTGGGAAATTTAGAAATTTGGACTCTTGAGTATTTGGAGTGTGATATTTTGGTCTTTTGAGAATTTGGGGAGTTGCAAATTTGGGAACTAGAGAATTTGAGGACTTGAGAATTTGGAAAATTGAAAATTTGGGAAATTAGAAATTTGGGATTTGAGACAATACTCACACATATATTCCCACACTTATAACACACATATGCACATGCAAATATACAAATATATTCCATTACAAACATTCTCTTGTTTTTTACAATTGCACTGTTACGAGAATTCATTCTTTGATATTACATGATCAAAGAAACATTATCCTACAAAACACGTAAGTTTTCAATGCAACAGAAACAAAGATGATTCATCGTTTAAAAATAAATGATTAAAAGCAATGTAACACTTTTTGTTTTCATGAAAATTCATCGAGATAATATGAATATTGAGTATGTATACATATTCTGAATTATCGACAGCTAATTTATTCGTATTTTTGTTATACTCCTTCCGATGCATCTAAGTCATTCAATAAACAATGAATGAACTTTTCTTTTCTTTAATCTGACGTTGCATTACATTCAGATTAATCTTGCGACTCTCCTTTTTATTTTATAAAATTATTACACTTTTTCATTCCTTTTTATGTTGTTCACACAAATTTTTTATTTTGTTTTCAAAATTTATGTTTTATCAAGTTTTTTTTAGTTTAATTGTAAGGATACGTAGTTTCAATTTTATGTATTTGTTTGAATTATTTTTAAAGTTACATATTTTTAAATTTTCAAGGATGTATTTCAAGAATTATGAAGAATGTATAGTTTCAAGTTTGTAAATTTTGTAAATTGCAATTTTGCAAAGTTGAATGACCAAGTTATCAAATTTTTGAGGATACATAACCTCAAATTTAAATATTTCGTAAATTACAACTTTTTCAAGGTATATATTTTGAAATTTTTTAATTCTCAAAGATACATAACCTCAAATTTATTAATTCTTTAAATGATTAGTGTCCAAAGTTACTTATTCTGAAATTTACAATTTCTCAGAGCTACATAACCTCAAACTTATCAATTCTTTAAATTCCAACTTTAAATTGCAAACTTAAAGTATAAAACTTATTTCTACAATTATAATTTTTAAAATTGATACATTCACAAATTTTTCACTAATATAATTATCAATACAATTATTAAGAACAAATCTAATATTACCACTTTAAATAAATTACAAAAATTTCTATTTTAATTACACCACATATAACAAACAAAAGTTCATAATCGAAAGGTACAATAATTAATAATTATACAAACAAAGTACAATAACATACAATAAAAAAATGTCCCCAAACGATGATTAGCGTTAATTAAATAACAGTAAAAAGGTGATATTTTAATGTAGAAACAACGAGAAGTCTTTTTATTCGGAAACGTCGCGTTTTCCAACGACATAAGCTCGATTATGGGAGTTTCTGCGCTCGGAACGATAGTACGGGGTCATGCCTCCACGATAGCGATTTATCACCAGTGCATTTCTTATTGTTTATTTATAACCGACTCATTACCGCTTAATGGAGAAGAGTTTTATTCACGCGAGCCCGTCAACGAACTGTGCAAACACTCCAAGAGGAACAAAGTCGAAAATGTTATTAGGTTCGTGTCATAGGCCAACGTGTCTCTATCACGAAACCTCTAACTCAGGCGAAAGTTATGCTCCTCTAATTGCTGTGCTGCGGACATTTCCCATAATATTGCGAAATATATTCTTTCATTTTGTTTTGTCTCGTTGGGAATAGGTGCAGAATAGTATTTATAATTCTAATTATAATTGCAATAGTAGGACATACTTGGGAGTTGCAAGTTAATTATAATTACAAATTTTGAAATTTTCAAATCTATAAATTTATACACTTGCAAACTTGGATCTGTCAAACTTCTTAAAGGATCGAGTTTTTAGACTAATTCTCAAAATTGTGAATTTTGAAGTTTCTGTAATTCCAAATCTATAAATTTATATATTTACAAACTTTTATCTGTCAAACTTCTTAAAGGATCAAGTTTTTAGAGAAATTCTCAAAATTGTGAATTTTGAAGTTTTTGTAATTCCAAATCTATAAATTTGCAAACTTTTATCTATCAAACTTTCAAATTTCAGAATTGTGAAAAGCTCAAATTTCTCAAAATCTGAAATTTTAAATATCCAAATTGTCGAACTACCAAATTCCCAAATTCCCAAATTCCTAAATTTCCAAGCTTCCAAATTTCCAACTCGTCGAAAGCTCAAATTTCTCAAAATCTGAAACTGCAAATTTCCAAATTGTTAAACTACCAAATTCCCAAATTTCCAACTCGTCGAAAGCTCAAATTTCTCAAAATCTGAAACTTCAAATTTCCAAATTGTTGAATTCCCAAATTCCTAAATTCCCAAATTCCCAAATTCCCAAATTTCCAAATTTCCAAATTTCCAACTCGTCAAAAGCTCAAATTTCTCAAAATCTGAAACCTCAAATTTCCAAATTATTGAATTACCAAATTCCCAAATTCCCAAATTCCCAAATTCCCAAATTTCCAAATTTCCAAATTTCCAACTCGTCAAAACTTCAAATTTTTCAAAATCTGAAACCTCAAATTTCCAAACTCTCAACCCACCAAATTCGCAAATATTCAAATTCGCAAAAGCTCAAACTTGCCAACTGCTACAATAAGAAATATCTAAGCTATATTTGAATGGTCTCGTTTACAAGGGTTAATAATGTTATCATATTCGTTCAGATTGGTTTTTATATACGATTTCGATTTCACATTTTTGACTACATTTTACAAATTACGTTTTTACTATCATCGTTTCCCCACTAACACGCATCGTGACCGATTAACTGGCATCAAGCAGATTAGAAAAATCACGTTTCTGGACAATTCTGGTAAATGAATGGAGCAATGTTCAGTATCTTCAATGTTGCGTTACTTTTATTCAATTCGTTCGCTGTTGCTTCTTTTAGTAATACTTATCGAGATCGATTTCTAATTATCGTTTGTTTCGTCTATTATTGCAGTTTAATATAAATATGGGATATTAATATATTGTTTGGAGTGTTGACAAGTGTTGTTGTAAATAGTTTTATTTCTTTGAACTTTAATATTTGTGTAATTGAAGGTTGAATGTTTTATAGTAATGTTATATGAATAGATTTCTGAAGTATTAAAGTTGTGTGGTGTTAGATTAGTATATATGATGGAGTAATTTGGAAGTTTTCAAGTTACACAATTTCTGAATCTTCAAGTTGACAAATTTCTAAATTTCCAAATTTCTAAATTCCCAAATTTCCACATTCCCAAGTTTCCAAATTTCTAAATTCCCAAATTTTCAAATTTCCACATTCTCAAATTTCCAAATTTCCACATTTCCAAGTTTCCAAATTTCCAAATTCCCAGATCACCAAATTCCCAAATCACCAAATTCCCAGATCACCAAATTCCCAAATCACTAAATTACCAAATCCCCAAACTCTCAAATCCCCAAATTCCCAAATCCCCAAACTACCAAATCCCTAAATTCCCAAATTCCCAAATCCCCAAACTACCAAATCCCTAAATTCCCAAATTCCCAAATCCCCAAACTACCAAATCCCTAAATTCCCAAATTCCCAAATCCCCAAACTACCAAATCCCTAAATTCCCAAATTCCCAAATCCCCAAACTACCAAATCCCTAAATTCCCAAATTCCCAAATCCCCAAACTACCAAATCCCTAAATTCCCAAATTCCCAAATCCCCAAACTACCAAATCCCTAAATTCCCAAATTCCCAAATCCCCAAACTACCAAATCCCTAAATTCCCAAATTCCCAAATCCCCAAACTACCAAATCCCTAAATTCCCAAATTCCCAAATCCCCAAACTACCAAATCCCTAAATTCCCAAATTCCCAAATCCCCAAACTACCAAATCCCTAAATTCCCAAATTCCCAAATCCCCAAACTACCAAATCCCTAAATTCCCAAATTCCCAAATCCCCAAACTACCAAATCCCTAAATTCCCAAATTCCCAAATCCCCAAACTACCAAATCCCTAAATTCCCAAATTCCCAAATCCCCAAACTACCAAATCCCTAAATTCCCAAATCCCCAAATCCCCAAACTACCAAATCCCTAAATTCCCAAATTCCAACCCTTCCAAATTCCTAAATCCCGAAATTCCCAAATTACCAAATCCCCACCTTTCTAAATCTCTAAATCCCCAAATTCTAAAATTTCCAAATTTCCACCCTACCAAATCCCTAAATTCCCAAATTCCAACCCTTCCAAATTCCTAAATCCCGAAATTCTCAAATTTCTAAATCCCCACCTTTCTAAATCCCTAAATCCCCGAATTCTCAAATTTCCAAATTTCTACCCTCCCAAATCCCTAAATCCC